GCTGGGCCACGGCGACCTGCAGAACCAGCGGCAGCCGAAGAAGGTCGAGGCCTTGGCGGGACAGCGCGTCGTCGCCTTGTCGGCTGGGTGGCAGCATAGCCTCGCCCTCACCGCCGACGGCGCCGTCTTTACGTGGGGCGAGGGTGAACTCGGCTGCCTAGGCCACGGAGAGGACGAGTCGAACCAGCTGCTGCCCAAGAAGGTTGATGTGTGGGCGCCGGGGCAGTGATGAAGAGGGCGAAGGGGTGCACGGCTCTGTTTCCGCGTCTTCCACGTGCCTATCCGTCACGTGCGAACGCATTAGTGGTGAAGAAGTGGACTCCTTCCCTGCGCTCTCTATGATAGAGAGTCTTCTAGGCCACACAAGAGCGCAGATCGTCAACTAGGCCAAGACCCCCCCCCCCCCCTTTCCCCCCCTTTTAGCTTTTTTTTCCTTTCTGCCTCCTCCTCCACACAACGGAAGCACACACAGCACCACACGACCCCCGATGCTCTGATACAGGTGCAAGGCGGCGCGCTGTCTCTCAAGATGGAAGCACGTGTTTGTTATGACCCCCCCCAAATGAACACACCAATGAGGGAGGGCGAGACGACAAGGGGTCCCGTACCACATGCGGAATCGACCCTACCTCCAGGTATCGTAGTCTTTGTTAGTACAGTCAGTACAGTGGGTTGCGGGCATTAAGAAAACAGGATTCCGCGGCACGCCGCCGTTTCTAAGCCTTTCCACACCCCTCACCCACCCCACGCCGTGGTTTCTTAACTTCGGCCGGGGCACTCAATCAAGGTAGGTCAAAGGTCAGAGCCGGCCCCGGATAGTCGGAAGAGGTGAGCTGCGGTCCCGGATCCGATGCCGCCAGCCAGTCTGCCACCGACTCAAGACGCGCACACGCCTCCATCCACACCGCTCACTCAGAACACCGCAGACTTGCAAAATGCCAAGTGCGCGCGCCGCGCAGGCGAAGAGAAATTTTCATTTGACGAGCTGGGAGCTCCCGTTCACACTCGTGTCTGGCCTTTTCTCGGAGCCGCGCCTGCGGCGCGCCGTGGTTTCTTAGATTTTTGCAGAAATCGCTCGGCGTGGTTTCTTCATGCGACGCTTTCTTAATGCCCGCAACCAACTGTATCGAGGTCTCGTGAATTTTGGCACTGATAAATTCGCGGCGTTCGCGGCGAGCCGAGCCAGGCCACGGCGCTCGGCCGAGAGAAGCCCTGCCCGGACGGTGAGCAAAACGCGCCATGGCGCAAACGGCCACAACCGCGGTGCCGCTCGGCTGGTCGGACCAATCGTGCCCGTGCTGCTTCCGCCCGGGTGCGCCGCTCTGCGAGGACTTTACGCCTTTCGACATGGCTCTCAAGGTTGCCGGCATGCGCAGCTTGCTCAAGGCGCACTCTCTCGCGGCATATCTTGTGCCTTCGGGCGACGCGCACAGCAGCGAGTACGTCTCTGAGGCGGACAAGCGGCGCGAGTGGCTGACTGGCTTCACCGGCAGCGCCGGAACCGCTCTCGTGACTGCCGACAAGGCGCTCGTGTGGACAGACGGCCGCTACTTTGTGCAGGCGGCCAAGCAGCTCTCGGGGACAGAGTGGGTGCTGATGCGCTCGCATGAGCCGGGGGTCCCCACCCTCGAGGAGTGGGTCCGGACGCACTTGCCGGAGGGTGCCGTCGGCGCCGACCCGAGGCTCATCTCCATCGACTTTGCCGACGGGTGGGCGGCAAGCGGCTGCCTGCCTCTCCGGCTGGTGCCGG